AAAAAAAAAAAAAAAAAAAAGAAAGAAAGCGAGCGAGGAACGGAATGGAATAGATCCTTGCCCCCCTTTTACAGCGACCCGAGTTAACTTTATTAATCAAGGAAATCGGGCCACATGCGTTGAATCTCAATGCCGGGGGGACTGAGTCGGCTTCTAATTCGAGCCTTTGTTCACCGACCGTTTCGAAATGGTAACGATCGGTGGAGGAGGGGAGACGGTACGAGTACACACGCGGTGAAGGGAACGGAGAAACGAGAATTTTCCTCCGCCGATACTCGATTCCTTTATCTCTTCGGAAACCGTGATTCTCTTCCAACCGATTTTTCCAACTTTCGTATCGTCGATTCGTTCCTCTCTCTCTCTCTCTCTCTCGAGTCGACGACTTCCGACGTTCGAATTTTCGATGAAACGGTTCCGGAAAATGGTCTCCTGTCCGGAGGAAACGCGCAGAAGAAGTTACAATGTGCCGTTCGCGTGAAGAGAAAGAGAGAGAGAGAGAGAGAACTCTGGCGCGGCGAGAAGAGAAGCGAAGGAACCGGCGGTACGCGGAACGTCCTCGAGAGCGCGGGTAAGAGGTTCTGAAAATGTCTGATCACGATGCACGATAGCCCAACGCGTACCGAACATTAAAAGCCGGTTTTACGGTTATTGCCCACCGGTACGGGCGTTTTTTCCTTCCTCCCTCCCGCCCATCCGCCGCCTTTTCTTTTCGTTCCTTTTTCTGTGAAACGAGCGCCTCGGGGGGTCAAGAGGAGTTGCAGCGCAACTCGGTAGCTCGGAGACGAGGGCCCAACTATTAAGCTTATTGATTGAAGCCTCGACCGAGCGCGCTACGACCTTCCCTACTTCCCTTATCTTCGTGTCTACCCTGTCTACCTTCTCGTGTCCAAACGGGCACGAGGTAGCGCGAGGACGCTTCGAGTAGACATCCTCGCTTCCCGGATGGACGCTATTACTCCCCCCTTCCTCCCTTCCCCGTCTTATTAACTTCGCACTTTTAAAATCGTCGACGGTTCGATTAAGATTTTTCTTCCTAACTGCATCACGATCCCTCGGCTACTGTATATTTCCGTATTCAGGATTGTCACGCCGTGAATCCATTGCTACGTTGCCGATTGGTTTAGGAATGGTTAAAGAAACAGATAGAAAGAGAGAGTTAAAAGATTGGAGTGGCCGCAAGTAGAGGTATCCTGCACGGGTCAGCCATATATATATGTCTCTCTCAAAATAAATATAAATTCTATCCGTGTTTCTTAAAAAAATACGTGACACGATCATATAACGAATATAATAACAAGGAAAATTGTGTTTAATTCCCTATTTTCGTCGATGCGACGAAGATGATCGGTAGCCGATATCGAATATATTCTCGTGAAATTTTCGCGAAACCGAATCGCGTCGCGATAAAAAGTGATGGTGCGCCGATCGCAATTGGCACAAGGCTGTGCCGCCGTGCGTTTTGCTCTCGGTCATGGTAAAAGTATCGAGCGTACGCTTTTCATTACCATTCCGATCACGCGGCGCGATCATCGTTCCGAGCGGAAGCTGCGTGCTCGGATGGAAGGGAGGCGGAGACGAGGCTCGTTTCTGCGTTGCGAGAAAAAACTCGAAAATCGACATTTCGGTCTTTCGCGAATTCGAGCCAGGTAGAAGGCACGAAACAATCGCGAAATGCGCCCTCGTTTCGATCGAGAGAAAGAATTCTCCGTTTTAAACGAAGGAGAAGGAATCGGATATGGCAAAAACTAATTCAATTTATCGCCATCGTTCGAATAATTTATAACTGTTATATAAGGTAAGGTAAGGAAGAATATTAAACTTGTTTTTGGATCGTGTCGTGGATAGCGTTTACGGGATACATAATCCAAGAGAAATTTTCGCGATTTATCACGGAGCGGGTGTCTCTGGGATCGGCCGCTTTCTCTCGCGATGAATTACGATAGATCCTAGGATGAGCTTTGATCGAACATCCTCCGAGTATCCTTCGAAAGACAAGACGAAAATGGATCGTTTTTCCGACCACCGTCGTGTGAAAAGCGAGTCGACACAATTCTTGACGATAGAGGCAATATCATCGTATACATTTAATCGTTTCGTCGTTGCTCCGAATTCACGGAGGGGCGAAGAGACGATAACAAAAGGATGATAGATCGATAATCGATCGGGATTAACCCGAGGCCGGGGCCGGTATTTCTATGCAAATTCCCCCGTATCGGTGGAAATGCAAATGCCGTATCAAGGCTATCATTCTCGTCGACACCTGTCGTAAATTTCGTATCGGCTCGCGTCGTCTATCTCGTACGCGGTGGCTGCCTTCTAAATCACGCTAATTGACACGGAATAATTTCGTGCCGCCCGATATCCAAGTAATAAAGCGAAAACAGGGGCGACGTTCTGTATAATTAACGTTCCGGAGATCTACGACTGGTGTTTATTACGCCTCGTGATTGACAACTCCCCGCCACGTCGATCCCTCCTCCTTCTCTCGATCAATCGTTATCGAGAAACCGACACGTTGACATTGCAATTTTCAACAACAACGTTATCGCGCGCTTTAAATAATAACAACATGGTTGCGAAACCATGTCTTTCCTCCTCCGTTATTTCGCAAAATTCCCATCTCTGCGGCATTACATCATCGCGTGATGATCGACACGCACGTTGACGACGCGGATCAACGCGCCCAGCCATTTCCAATTATTCCCTCGGATCGGACATCTTCGAACCCACCAATCGGAAGCGCGTCGATTACCCTCACCTTCGATTCGATTTGCACGAGAATTCCTCGCTCCTTCATCTAAATACCATCGTAATCACCGTATTTAACGTTGCCTCTGAATTATTATCTTCTCTCGACGACACGAATGGGCGGAGTGATTCGACTCGAGGTGAAGATCCGATCGAGGCATTCCACGAGGGCGCCCCAGAGCGTTTAAATCGCTCGAATTCTACACCTTCCTTCTCCTCCTTTTGCTTCACTCCTCTCCGCTCCTTTTCTTCCTTCCTTCCTTCCTTCCTTCCTTCTTTTTTTCACTCGCGCCAAGCGTTTTCACTCCTCGCTCCTCCGGGCGGTGCAACCGTATTACACGCGACACCTATACCGCGACCGGCGCAGTCTGTAATTCCGCGCGTTACGTTGCATTAGGCGTATTAGCCTGGCTATCATTAGGTATAGCAGCGCGGCTTGTAATCAGCCGCTCGCTTGTCGCTTCGCTGCACTCGTTTAACGCTCGTCGCTCGTCGCGGCCTCTTTAATTGATATCGACCGATTCGAGGAGAAAGCCGTTCCTCGACACGCTTCCCGCATCGAGCAGCAAATTACGTAGGATCGACGGTGTTGTTGTTTCGTCGGCGATGCGTCACAGGATTTTTTTTCTCAATGGTAAAAATTTATAATAAAAAGTAGATACATAGTTTCGTCGTTGAAAAAATTATTCACAATCGATTCGTGTTT